GTATTGAGACTTTGTAAAGCTTGCTTTCGTCCCTCACCAAAGAAGGTCCATCCACAAATCTTACCGAACAATCTCTTATTGAACCTAGTCAGACAGGTCACTTTAGTAAATTGAAATAAACAGATAATGAATAGCCACACATACAGGATTCAAGCGATGGCAATGCCATATCCAGCTGCCGTCAAGTGGCGGGCAAACCAGATCAAACATGTAAAATGTTTTACCTCTTAATTGCCCGGTCCAAAACAGGCCTCTCAAACAGCTTGAAATTGGCATGTACTAGCGAAAGAAGCTCCAACTGTGATTGTGCAGCTGCTACCACATCCAGAGAGACCACAATTTCTTGAGCCTTGCACCATTCATTCACTCGATTCATGGAAAGCGAAGCCATTGTTGTAGTCTGAGAGTTGAGCTCAAGGCTTGGGGTGCTTAAAAGTTCTGTCCTGACGCAGCCTGTTTTGACTATTCCAAGGATGGATGATTTGTTTGGAATTTCCTCTTCAAGTGATGTGCCTTGGAGCCTTTGGGTACTTGAGGGCCCGTTTACCGTTTCAATATCATCGTGTAGGCTTGAAGATAGTTGACCCACGTGGCAGAACTTGCTTTTGTCGTCAACTCGAGTACTTTGACAAGTTTTGCATATATGCAATTTGCCGTGGTACCAGCTAGAAAACAATAGATAGTTTAGATTCAACTGTACTCTCAATCTTTTGAGCCAAGAGAAGCTCAAAGGGAGGAAAGACGTACTCTTTCATGTCCTTTTACACTCGCTACTTCGTGCCGAGGCAGTAAAAACACACAGAATTAGAGATAGCCAGAAATATTGCTCGCCACGGAGGATCAATGCATAGAACACGTCTGACCTGTACATCGGGAGAAATGCTGTCGAAACTAGCGGTGACGACTTGGAAAGTCTCGCACTTTGTGGATGTGAGATGTGCCCCAGACGACGTTTCTCGAGCACTCGTAAAGTGAGAGAAATCTAAAACAAGGATCCTGTCGAAGCAAACAAAAGAAAACAAGACATACCAGCTAGTTTCATGTTTGTGCTCAAGTGACTCTCTCAGTTGTGCCAAGAGCACTTCACACCTTTACGAAACAAAGAAAAGAAAGCTCGTCAGATGTAGAGCCACTGACTTAAACTTTGACGAGGCTTCTGCCGGAAGATCGCCACCGTCGCTGCTAAACTCTTGAAGCTCTTGCACAGAAATCTTGCTCAAGGATGCATCCTTATCGAGAGGAGAAGAAAGAGACGAGCCAGGCTATGTCTCGTTACCTCGGACGTGGTGTCACTATCGATCGGATCAATGCTAGAATCCATGAATGATTGCTAGCAATGAAGAATAGAATCACTGGAAATGCAGCTTGCCTTGCGCTCAAGATCGTCGTCGTCGGCATCCGAGATTCCAGCAGTCAACCACCCTGGGGAGATCTCGCGCTTCCAAACAACGCGCTTCCATTTCCAGTTGAGCGCAAAGAAGAAAATGAGCGACCTTTCTTTCCATCAAAACTTGAAGTCGACTTTCTTTGCGCGAAAATCTTTCTCGGCTTTGCGCTTTCGTTTCTTTTCGGCCTGAATGGAAAAAGCTTAGACAATCCGCAATAAACATGGAACTTCCTTTCACTTACCGACGCAACCATGTCGCTGAAGTCTTCCGTTACGGTTTCCTGCTGCTTCTCTTTTCTGGCCTCCTCAAACCTGTGAAGAAATCAAAAGAAAAAGTGAATGAAGAAATTCAACTAGAAAAATGTTCGCAAACCTTGCAGCCAGGGCAGCTTCATCCAGTTTTTCGAGTTCCTCGGGCAGTAGAGTGATGTCCACGTTGCCGGTTCTTTGACTCTTCAGCAAATCCACCTAAAAGAAGAACCGTAAGAAAATTCAAACAAAGTTTACTGCCAGGATACCTTCTTGACACCAGGCTTTTCCACCGAAGGCAGGACATACCTACACAGACAGCATCACGTATGGAAATGAAATCCAAACTTTTATCGAACAACGTACGTATGAGTATTTCCCAGAAGGATTCCTGCTCGAGCACTTTCTTTCTTTTCCTCTAAAACCTGTAAAAAGACAAAAGAGTAAGCATACATACATAGGAAGGTCGATGACAACCTGATATAGCCTGATATCTGGTTCACTACGTTTTGACTTTCGAAGGTTGATCGCGTTGGGAGTTTCATCACCGGCTGGAGTCCTGGAGACATTACAAGGATTAGAAAACGAGCCTAGGATTCGTGAAGTAAATAGAATGTACTCCAAAGGTGCAACGCTCGCTTCTTCAACAGGAGCGGCCTCCACCTCTTCCCGTTGCTCTTCTTCTTCCGGTCCCTCTTCTTCTTCTTCGTCCTCATCTTCCAACTCACCCCAGTGCTTAAAGCGATCGACAGGCTCCTCCTACATTTAAGTAGAAATCAACAGCAATTTACACGGTCAAACCTCACCTCGTAATGCACTAGTTCCTGCCGTTGTGCACCGAATAAATCTCCATATAGAGGCCTTCCATACTACAAAAGAACTTCCATACTTCGGCGTACTTGGAGCATTGGCTGGCTTACCTCGTCGACAGGAGCCCTACCCCAGCCTCCAGGATGATAACCGAAGGACGCACCGACGGGAATAGGTGCGTTCAATCCAGGAATCCTGAGCTGAGGATAAGAAGGCGGTGGCCCGTATCTCTGCAATCAGTCCGCTTTGCTTTAGAGTTTATAGAATGTAGTGTAGTGACTACGTACCTGCATGTTGAAAAGCCATGGAGGTGGAGCACCGTCGTCCATGCCAAGTGCACTCCGCAACTCACGAGAGAGATACCCGGGTCTCATGTTTCTTAGTTTTATCTGCGAAACCATTTTCAGGACGACTACCTGTACCGAAAGCACGCTCACCTCGAATTCTTTTCCTTCGTGATACAAATCCCCGAGGGATGTCAGCTTGGGTTTAGTTTGGTACTTGAAAAATGCGTCATGCAGGATCTGCGAGACAAGAAGAAACAAGTAAGTACAAGCACCAGGGTGTCAACATGATTACCTGATAATCGATGCTCATTTTTCCCACTTTTGGTTGCATGCGAGATCTTTGAACTTGTTTCGACTTTTTTGCATTTTCCTTGTCAACGTAGGCCTGAGAAAAACAGAGAAAAAGGATTAGTCGAGTCGCTAGAGACATATCCTGGCACCTGTCTGATTTTTTGAATTCCCGTCGAAGCAATGAACTCCGGTAAATGAAATGGCAACTTTTCGACACCACGCTTTCCCTGCAAGGACATGCATCATTTCAGAGCCGAGAAAAAACACTTAGCTACTGTATGATTTAGAAGAAATGCAGACCATCTCATACAATGCAACACGAAAAATGCAGCTTCTAAAAATGCGTACCCTGTAAATCACTGCCTCCCTTTTGGATGGACCGTCCTCCGGCATCCTGCAAGCACCAGGCACTGCAATTTAAGATGCAAGCCGTTCATGCAAACAATCGCGAACGATGCAAGCACGACCAGTAGGGAAAAGAAACAAAAAGAATGTCGAAAACAACACTACAAACCTGTAGAAATTTCCGCTTTTGACACCAATGCCTCGGTACAGGCACGGTGTTGCGATAGGCCTTCAAAAAAACAAGCAGCCGGGGATCCGCAGCTGTAGCGTCCCACACCTGTGGAGAGCCACTATTCAAGAAATTTTTTCATCTCTAGGCCTAGCATCGAATACCTCGACAACATCCGGTTTGCCACAGTAGTCCTTAAGATCTGCAAGCGTCATTCTTCGTTTCATCTGAAGAAAGGAAAGAAGACAGGCACGGAAATTGCAGTGATCAAACAAAAACTTCTTGTCCACCTTTTTCTTCTTGTTAGACAGCACCACCTCTTTCACTCTCACGTCGGGCTTGTCATCTTCGTCTTCGGACGAGCTCATTTGCATTTTCTCCGTCTTCACGGCTTCCTTAGGCTTCTACACAGGCCAAGCATGAGCATGACTCTCAAGCAAAGCGCGCTCTACCTTTTTCGACGATTCCAGGCCCGAGAACTTGTCAAAAATCCGCTGGAACTCGACCAATCCATCGCCGTCGAGAGGCGATTTGTCTGGAACGTACTCGATCTCCGCGCTTCCGGCATTCACCTGGAGCAAAGCAAGCAATTCCAATAGCACAAAAAAGAGGGTGGACTACCCTGCTCTCGCCGCCAGAATCACGAGGCGCAGCAGGGTTTTCCTTCTTCCGCATCCTTCTGCGCCTTCTTTTCTCAGCCTCCCTGGCGCGCTTGCTGCTGCTCGCATCCGCACCGCACGGAGAAGCAACCATCGCCATTTCTCCCTCATTCAAACAAACCCTAATATCAATATCTAAGCAAATCTTCAATTGAGGCTACACTCATAGCAAGATATAAAAAGGTTGCTTCCACATTTCATTTCACTAGTATACATTCTCTGTTTAATATAAGAAAAAGAACATTATGGATTTTATATATATTTTTTAATGAGGCTAAGCCGCTACACTCATAGCAAGATAGAAAACACATTTGATTTCACTCGTATACATTCTCTTTGTTTAAGTAATGGGGTTTTTGAGGAGCTAGTCGCCCTCAAAAACCCCCACCTCTTCCTCGAATCTCAGCAACCTGCCTTCGTACTCTGCTGGGATTGGATAACCCGCTGCATGCAACGCCTCTCTTGCCTCCGGCACCACAAGCATCTGCATCTTGCCACGAATGGCCTCGTCCGGCTCGGAGATTGCATACATGCCTCGTGACCCCCTAAGCACCTTCTCAAGGCTGGTGCCTCTCAGCCCAAACTCGTTGCCATAGTACGTGATAATAGCATCTTTGGAGAATTGATAGATAGGTCCGCCACACAAAAGTCATGGAGTGGATCGCAATCCGAGCATGAAAAGAACAAGGCTGGAAAGCAAAACAATGCTGCCATTTTGTTGCTGATCACCGAGTGTACCTTTACCACCATTCACTGCATAGATCAAAAGGCTGCCGCCTTGCAAATCGAAAGTATTTAAGTGGACTAGATATCATCTGAAGAATTTATATAAAATATGTATTATTGTTCTACAATGAATCTCCGCAATGAGTGCCCGCCGAAGAAGCGGGAGTTAATCACAACCTTACCATGCCTCGGATGAATTCAGCAATGGGAACAAACTCTTCGACAAGCCTGTTCACAGTCCGAGCATCCAGCCAAAATGCCTTTTGGAGAACTTCTTCCATGACACCAATCCCCAACATGGATGGAGCTATGGTCTGAAACCTGGGCTTCTCACTGTTTAGCACTGCAAAAGCTGACACTGGACCCTCTCCTATGTTGAGCTGCAAGTGGATGAGACCCCTCGATAAGATCATCACCTTACCCTTGGAGTAAACAAAGTTTGATGTCACTTTGTAAAATTTTTCTAGACTCTATCCTTCACCGCCAATCCCTAGTTGGCATCGTTTATGGTTGAGACTAGGACGGTATTTGATCGTCTTTGAGCCCCCAACTTTCGTTCTTGATTAATGAAAACTGCTGCCGCACCAACGGATGTCAATTTGGCCGATTTGGGGATCACTCTTTGGGGAATCCCTCTCTTGGATGGGTAGCATATCATGAAGAATCTCTACAAGGGTGTAAGTAACTAAAGAGAACGACTTGAGAGACGATCCATGGGGTTCAAATATAGAGGGAAAGGGCCCATGAACAAGAGTGCACCCCTTTTTCCAATTGGTTAAGGGTCTTGGGATATTTAGAGTTAAGCGTCCTTAGGTTTGAATAGTACTGGGTTGGGTGACCTCGCAGGAAGTCCAAACTCAGGAGTTTTACAAAGGGCTTCATCCATGAGTTTATCCAAAAGTTTGTACCCTAAGATATAGACAATATTTATGCTTATATCTTGCAAGTGCCCTATTGGCTGTGTCGATGAATCCAGTGTACAAGCGACACTGGGTGATGTAGATGAACTCACAAATGCCCTATTAGCTGTGTCGATGAATCCAGTGTACAAGCGACCCTGGGTGATGTAGATGAACTTAGAGGCACAAGGATGCATGTGAGGCAGGATGAGGACACCCTCCACAAAGTCGAGCCTGTTACATGACACACCTCGCCATGTAGACATTAGGGTTTTCCTGTTCTATCCACTAGTGCAGTGCGCTTTGATCCCGATTTGTCTCATAGTATTAGAGCTGGGATAGCACTATGGAAGGAAAGCCATCCATCTGCAAGCTTGATGGAGAAGGGTTTGAGGGATTCAAGATTCATCTTGAATCCTATCTCTTGCTTCATGGTTTGTTGGGGATTGTAGATGGGACAGAGTCATCACCGGCTCCAGGCTCTAGTGCTACTGAGGTGCATGATTGGAACCTTTGGGATTCCAAGTCTAGAGGGAGATGTGCTTGTCCTTGAATGTTCTCTTTGTTGCACCATTAATTCAAAAGTGCATTATGGCAATGCTCTGTAAGTGACTAAATTTTCCATTCTACTTTAGTCACTTAACCACACCTCCAACCACTTGGAAAAGTCTCACTCACAACCTCCATAAGTTCTATTCCGAACTTGGGCTTGCTAGCCCCGAGAATGGCATCCATGCCACTCAAACTATGCACATGGTCTAAGTGCTCTGTGTGTTCGATCCCATGACCGACACTCAAGGGTATCACCAACATATCAGCCTATTATGCTTATTCACCTTTGCCACACTGGTGATCCAACTCCATCTGCATCACAATCCCATCTCTCAAAAATTGGGCCATCCATCCACGAATGGTCATCCTTTGATCACGCTTTAGCACCCTTAGAATGTCCAAAGACATAGAAAACACCCTTCCCCAATGTCCCTTCTTCCGTCCCTATCAAGTCCCTCTTCATCCACGGCCATACTTGCCAACACTGCCACTAGGTCAAGGCCCAAAGGCCCGATCACTAAGTCCCACTGTCCTCTAGGACTTCTTCACCATGTGATTGTATCCTTGGTCACTACACTAGAGGATTGTTCCTCTTCTTTTCCACAGTCTAGGACTTTGGGATGAAATTTTAAAACACCATGGCCCTATGCAAGCCTTGTGGGTACTCTCCCCACTTTCCGCTTTTAGGTGCCCTAGCCATGTGGCTAGAGCAAGGTTCTGATGAGCCATGCTAGGTATCCAAGTAGGTAATGCCATCCACATTTGGATTGGGAGTATTGACCATTCAATCTCCCAGAGGAGCTAGAGTTGGCTCTTGAAAACTTCACTAAGCTACCCCACTTGTCTGTACTCACTTTAGCCTTGGACTCCTTAATGGTTTTATCATCACCCACCACATGAGTATAACCTTCCTTGGTCACATTAAACTTTCTTGGCCAAACTGGCTCCACTAGAGTCTGCCTTCTACTATACTTTTGGAGTTCACCAAACCCTCCAAGGTTTGGAAGACGAACACTTTGGGCTTTCACCTTCAGAATCAGACTCGGACTCAAACTCAGACTCGGATTCAGTCTCAATCTCAGTCTCAGTCTCCGTCTTGGCCTCGGTCTCGGTCTTAGTCTTTGTCTTGGTCACGACCTCGGACTCCATCTTGGGTCCTTCTCGGACTCCATCTTGGACTCCATCTTTGGTCCATCTCGAGCTCCATCTCATGTCCATCTTGGACTCCATCTCGAGTCTATCTCGGGTCCATCTCGGACTCCATCTCAGATCCATCTCAGACTCCATCTCAGGTCCATTTCGGGTCCATCTTCTTGCAAAACATACATAGATTGCAACATTTCCTCTCTCTCACTTTGCATGGCCTCAATGTTGTGAAGACTCCTTACGGCATCTACCCAAGTCATCCCTGGTTGGAGAAGTAGGCTCTCAATTGCATACTTCCAGCTAGCTAGCAAGGACCTATAGAGCGACAGCCTTTGCTGTTCATCTGTGAGATAGTGCTTCGCCCCAGTAGCCGTAAGTTGTGTGAAAAAGCCCTGAAGTTTGGCAATGTGAGTCTGGATACTGCAATTTTCCTCTAACCTCAAGGAATCCATTTGTGAATAGATGTTGAAGACATCCATTTCACTCTTGGTGTAGTAGGTGTTGCTTAACCACTTCCAGAGCATGTGAGACACAAGTCCCTATGCCCCAAAGTAGAGCCGAAAGGGTGCCATGTGGTAGTGGTTGAAGCAGAAGCCAAACAAGTGTAACATGTTTGAACTAAAAGCTCTAACTTGAAAAGTCAAGAGCAAGAGTGGAACTCTCAACAAAAGGGTCAAGAAACAAGCTCGAAGTGAGCAATAAGTGAGTCTCTAGAAAAAGGACTCAAGAGGACCAACACAGGACACATGGAAGTGTCGAGATGGACTTGAAATGGAGTCTGAGATGGAATCTGAGATGGACCTGAGATAGACCTGAGATAGAGTTTGAGATGGACCCAAGATAGAGTCCGAGATGGAGTCTGAGATGGAGTCCATTCTGGTGATGCCAAGGTGGCAAAACCACATACAGCTGCAAATGCCCAGAAAGGGCAAAATTCCATGGTATCTGGGCATGCCAAGCCCAGACTTGCCAAGAATCAGTGCGTTCGCTACTTGGAGATGGGTCACTGGGCTTGAGATTGCATTGCTCCAAAGCTTGTCAAGCGATTAGCTACAATGGCAAAAGCCAACCTATTTAAGGGTGATGGAATTGTTACAGCAAATGAGGCTGTTGAGGAGCTCTACAACACAGAGGCAATTACAGCACCAAGTAAGTGGCTTCTAAACTCTAGTTGTACTAATCTTTGGGCAATAAGAAGAGTCTTTTTAAGTGTTATCAATTGAGCATTGGAAAACATGGTATTTATTTAGGTGACAATACCACTATCCCTGTGGAAGGCATTGGGCAATTTAGGCTCTCACTTTATCATGAGAGAATCATGGCATTTGGTGGTGCCATGCATGTCTCCATCTTGCAATGAAACTTAATGTCCGTTGCCAAGATATGTAATCAAAATGTAGTGGTAGTCTTTGATGCAAAGGGAGTCTCTTTGGTTGACTCTAGCGACTTTCACATACTTGGCACACAATTGCTTCATGGGCCACGCATTAGGGACTTGTATGAGATTACTATTGCCAACCAGGTTCAAGCCTTTCAAATTGTGGAGGCAGATTCTCGTGTAGAGCTTTGGCATAAAAGACTTGGTCATGTCCATTACAAATCTCTTTAATAGATGAAATCCTAAGATATTGTTACTGGATATTTACATTTTGTGAAGCTTGCGTTTTAGGGAAGCATTACTGCTGGAATTTCTCGCCAAGCAAGCACCAAGCAATTGAACTTGTGGACTTGGTCCATTCTAATCTTTGCAGCCTCATGGATGTGCCAAGTCACGATAGTGCAAGATATTTCATCACATTTATTAAT